TAGCGAGGGGGGCGTTAGTCTGACTCACAGAACCCCTGGGGTTTGATCGAGCCCAGGTGAAGAAACACTGGTATAGATTGAAACTGGATTCAAACATTTTGGGGGATTCGCCGTTACGGGGAGGTGGGAGCGTGCGGTACATTAAATCGGAGTAAATTTTCTATCAACGTGACAGAGAATTAGAGCTGTAGCAATTTGTAGCACATGATTACATTCTACTTCAGTAACGTCCCAAACTGCGCAAGTACACTACGGCCAAATACAAGCTAAAAAGGCTCACCAGTTCTAAGAGACATAAAGAAAAGCAAAATATACTAACATTACAACTGAGCTTTAACTCAAAAAATACACATCTAATTACCAATTAAATTGAATTCATTATGTTTTAATTAAGCTACATGATAGTGAAGTCCGCCTGATCAAGTGAATTAGTAATTTTTTTAAACAAGTCTTGTATCAATATTTGTGCAGCCAGTCCAAAGTTCAGTCTGTATTTACGTTGGCCTGCTTGGTTGTTGCTTAGTCATAATCAACATAGAAACATCGAAAATAAATTGGTTCCAAATATACCTCCATATGTACATTAATAATTACGAGCCGACCCGCGGCGTATCATACGCCGATATTTAGTTGTTTTATTTTCTACTTTTCAGTCATTCATAATATGTGAATTCGACAGTATCAACGCTGCCACTGAAAATATTTGCTTTAAAACACTATCAGTAGGCAGTTAAGGACGATACCCCCCACCCTCCTTACCCCCAACCCTAACCCCTACCCTACCCTACCCCCCCCCCATGAAAGCAGCCTCCTCTTAGTTACCTCCCCTCAGTTTAAAATAGTTTCAAACTAAAATATCTGCCCCTAATAGGCGTCACTAAACCCGGATTTACAATTGTAAACATTTAGCGTGAACCACAGCTCACCAGACCATGTCGGGGTGGGGGAGGTTGCGATATGCCTAGAGAGGAAGAGAGGGGACTGCTAGGCGCGCTAACAGCTTGTTTTCTAATGTCTCCAAGAAGAGAATTATATATATAGAAGATATTTATATATAGTATCTATACAGACATCTATCTATCTATCTATATACATAAACACACACACACATATATATATATATATATATATATATATATATATATATATATATATATATATATATATTGTTACGACTGTGGGGGCGTAGATTGCAAGTATAGGGTTGACGAAGCACGTGTTGTAAGAGGGGCAATTACGGATGACAGCCATATTGACCTGTGAATGGCGGGCAGACTGGACGTAAAACCTAGGAAGTTATCAGTAGGGTCTGACCTTTTAATTAGGTGCTACAGAACTGTTGTGACATCCAATTTAGGCTAGGCTTGGTGGGGGAAGACAAAGAAGCTAGGGACAGTCATAGCTCAGACACACACGGAGACTCTCACTGGGATAGCTAGTGAGGAGACGATGGGACGTCTCGATGAGCTAGTGGAGGAAAGCCACGAGATGTCTGTACTGTATTAGACCTAGGCTCAGAGGCGTAGTGACCCTTCCCGGCGCCCGGGGGCAAACTTTCAATTTAGTGCCCCATCGGGAGCAAATGTTCAATTAGCATCCCCCCTCAAACTCTCGATTTGCACCCCCCTCCCCCCCGCTCAAACTATAATGCAAAAATGCAGCTAAAATAACATTTTAATTTATTTTTACAACCCATTTTGGCGCCCCCTAAGGTTGGCGCCCCCCCCCCTTCGCTACGCCTCTGCCTAGGCTAGGATAGACCGTTTGGGACAAGTAGATTAGTTGTACTAAGGACTCACACTTTATCCCCCCCGCCCCCCCCCCCCCCCCCTTGTATGTCACTCTCCAGCTGAACTTACCCCATACCTGAACTCTGAGATTGATACCTCCCGCTGCCATCTTTGATTTGTTACGCTTGATTGATTGCCTCTGTGTGCCAGACCAACACAGCCCCGCCCGTTGTAAAAAAAAATAATAATTTATTTCACGCTTCCCTGGTAGTCGTTTACTTTACTAGAGTGAAAAATTAGAAACAATCTTAGGACCAATTTTAGATTTGCTTGATCCAGTTGCTATATTTTAGAAACTACCCATCAAGAGTGAGAATATTATTGGAGAAAATAAAACTACTTTACAAATTAGAATGGGAAGAAGTGGCTTATCGGTAGAGAGCTAGACTGTTAACCCGTAAGTCTCGAGTTCGAATCCGGGTCGAGCCAGTAGACCTATCTTCCACTCAACTCTCATGGGTAACTACCTAACTTACGTTATGGAGAGTAATGAGGCTGGGCATAGTGCTGACAACGTTATCCCTTCATATGCCTAGGTCAAATAAAACAGGTGAGCTGTACTTCATTTGTCCTATAGACAGTCATGTTTGGAAAGGGAACTTTACTTACTAATTGAAATGAAAGCTGTTTTATATGACCTTGTCGTTTAACACGACCACACTTGATAAAGTACAGTACGAGAAATCGGCGAACCATTAGTAGTAGTACTATATTCTATATTATTCACGTAATAGAAAACGAGCATTCGAACTGTAATAAAGTTTGAAGCTAGTATGAACAGAGGCGTAGCGAGGGGGGGCGGGGGTTGCGGATCGCACCGGGTGACACCAATTAGGGGGGTGACACCAAGGCAAAAAATAGCAAAATATAATTAAATATATAGAGAAAAATGATAATTCCACTTAATTAAGTGATTAATTCGAGTGTTAAATTTTCTTTTAAGAGATGCAATTCGAAAGTTTGAGGGGGAGGGGTGCAAATCAAAAGTTGAAAGTTTGTCCCTGGGAAGGGTCGCTGTGCCTCTGGGGGGGGGGGGGGGGACGGACACCATTGAGTGCTGCACCGGGTGACACCCGACGTCGCTACGCCACTGAGTATGAAACTAGTACCATAGTGACACACCCCACCCCTCCCTCCTGTAATGCTAACCTCTGTACGTGTGTCGGGCTAATACAGTTTTACTGTGTGTTTACGACCATTAAATAACGTCGAGTACCACTTTAGCCTTACAATTTGCACAGGCTAACTGTAAATCAACACGCAAATGGTCCATGGCTGTATTGATTGAGCTCAAGTTTTTATTGTATACGCTATAAAATTATACCTTACCCTACTAAGTCGTACTCGATACGAATTGGGTAATGTTTATTCAAAGCGAGATTGCGATATGGATAAATATGGAAAGGTACACTGTAATGTAAACATACGATGAGTAGATAATTAAATTCAAAATAGAAAAAAAAACTATAAATAAAGCGGGAGTGATCTCCCTTGAACAAAAATTACGAATATAAGATCTTATACGTTATACCTGTATATTAAATGTCGTCTATCCAGAGGCGTAGCGAGGGGGAGGGGGGCGGGGGGGACATATGTCCCCGGGCGCCAACCTTAGGAGGGGGCGCCAAAATGGGTTGGAAAAATAAATTGAAAGCTTGAGGGGGGTGCAAATAGAAAGTTTAAGGGGGGGGGGGGTTGCAAATCGAAATTTTGAGGGGGGGGGGGTGTCAATCGAAAGTTTGAGGAAGGGGTGCACATCGAAAGTTTGTCCCCGGGCGCCGGGAAGGGTCGCTACGCCTCTGCGTCTACCTAACTGTAACAGCACTCAAAGTAAAAACGAGAAATGAAGAAATGAATTTCTTCTACCTAACTTTAACTGTGCTCAAGTTTTGAGAAACCGGTGGCAGATTAAGTACCGGAAAACGCTTAATTAAAAGTTGAAAGAAAACAGAAAATTTGATGTAATACTTATATGTGAACTTTCGTCAATTTAACATAAACGGTACTCAAGGTATTTTGTTTACATACATACCTACAGACAGATGGACAACATTGCAAAACTAAGTTTTTCTTACTCAGGAAAATGTCAAGAATTTTTAAATTCATAAAATTTTAATAAAGGGTATTCAAGATGTAATTTACAGCACGAAACTAAAGCAGTGTTTCTTCTAGACTTTTTTCTCCGGGGGGGGGGGGGGGGGCGGTAGACTTTCTTCGGGGGGGGGGGCGGACACTATTAAAAGTATATATTGTCTATATAAATTATATAAATTTCATTTCGTTCGGGGGGGGGGGGGGCGGTAGAATTTTTTCGGCGGGGGGGGGGGGGGGGAAGAGATGCCTGGAAGAAACTCTGGGCTAAAGGTATAGGCGTACTCCAGACTGGGGTTGGGGGGGGGGGGGGTGACTTGTGAAAGATACCCGAAAGAAACTATAGAAAATTCAACAACATAATCTAGCAACGAAAAGAAAAAAATTAGGATTGTTGTTTTGTTTATTTTTTGCCTCGTCGCTCCTAAATTTAGTTTCCAATGGAGCAACATGGACCTCCATGTATTAAGTAGAACAGGGGCCTATATAAGTAACACTAACAGTGCATGTATTGTCTTCTAAATACAAAAAAAAAATAATTATACAAATATCGATTTCGTGTTCGGAAGAAAAAAAATCTTCATAAAAAAGAAGCTTTTAAAACAATGTAAAAATAAGAAGAAAAAAAGAAAGTCACTAATGAAATCTCTTTCACAGCGTTTACATTTCGTAAGTAAAATGGCGTTTGTTTAGGCAGAACCCCAAAAGAAAATGTATTGCCTCTTGTGTCTGAAATACTACCGAGATATACTGCTGTCACCGTTCAGTTATCACCGGGGAATCCTTTCTAGCCCACACAACTGTTTTCGTCTATTCCAGGTGAGAACTAGGTCATCAATATATGACAATTTTTTCATTGTAAAGGTAATTTTAGTAGTCGATTACATGTCAAACTAATAAGTAAGACTATTTTAAAATGACTTTAAGTATCAGTAGATCGATATAAAATAGTTCGTGTACTAAAATCAATTTAATTAGATAAAAATATCACAGGTTGAATTCACAATACGTTATCTTTTAAAGTGTGTTTATATATTTCTCGATTACAAACAGTAGTCGATTACGGTTGTCACGCTGACTTGACACACCTAGGCCAATCGTTCACCTGTATTTCAAGCAGAGCGACGGACTTGGTTCAGAAAAAAATGGCGTCCTCGCTGGTGTTACGTCTGCTTGTATTGGCAACGACTTTTTCGCAGATACATGCACAGGCCGCCACCACTGGAAATACAGCTTTCGATGCTTTGGATGGACTAGGATGTAGTCAGGTATTACAGAAAAAAAGTAGTTAGTTTACACCCCGTGGCTGTGGTGTAAATCCACCCCACGTTAAGTAATGCAGTTGTGGGGTTTGTTTTGTTTTTTTATTGAACACTTCCGTATTAGTATTAGATTAGACTAGATCTAGTCGATGAGAGATAGTTTTAGTAAAAGTAATAGGCATTAGCCTATTAGGGCCTATAATTAGGCCTATCATTATGCAATTATTGTGATGTACTCGAGAAACGTTTCATTAATGTAAAGACTGTAAGGCGTAAGGCGGTGTATTGAGTGTAAGGTAGTAGATCTAGAGTCTAGTCTAGATCTAGAGAGTCTAGTTGTTTTTCTTGCAACTTAAAAATTAATAGGCCCAAGCTAGGCTAAATATAAAAAAAGTATTTAAAAAAGTGTTAGGTAGCCTAGGCCTAATACTAATTCCCCTACACTTGAGGCTGAGCTGAAAATTAAAATGATTGTAGCCTAAATTTAGCCTAATGGTATTAACTTTTCCTTAGCCCATTGGTTCTGTATTAAATTCTGTATCCCTGGTAATAATGAGAGATTTAGGCCTTATATAATGATTATTAGTTCAGGCCTATTGAATCTACCATGTGTAGGAGGAGAAACAGTATCTCCATCAACTCCATGGTGTGTAATCTGTAAAATCACAATCAACATTTAGCCTATGAATTTTTCTTACCTAAATAAAAAAATCATTAGGCCTAATAGACCTAATATAATAAGCATACACTAAATAAACATAATACGCCTACTTAATATAAGACTTGTAGGCCTAATAGTTACACTTATTTTTTTATACCCCATTTTTAGGCTACAGATAACATACATACAGTACGCAATTGTTTTCCTAATACACTACAATGTAGATAGTTGATATATAGACATATCTATTATTACTACTACTACTTTCAACAATTATGCTTTAATTAGCATACTAGTCACCACACTACTATTATTAGCCTTACTGGACCTATTGTGGCTAAGGGCCTATATTTACATTATTCACAAAAATAGCCTTAAGTTTCAATGTTAGATACGTCTATATTTTAGCTGACAGAACACCATTCAATATCAACTAAACTCTTCAGTAGGACTGCCATTGAGTGGCTTCTGATGTAGCTAAACATTATGTTTAAAATAAAATCAGCTTTTTTATGTATTTTTTATCAGTAAATTTTCAAATGGAAGGGTGGGGTTATTTTTAAAACCATATAATGGAGAGTTCTGGGGTTGTTTATTTTTTTTTTGTGTGTAGTTTTGTTTGTTAAAAAAGAAAACAGATGTTCCCTTATCTCACTTCATGGACAACATGATATACATAGACATTATTTACTCAAGCTGATAAGTGTAATATCAAATGACATCATATGTAAAATAAAATACAAAAAACATGCATGCCACAATATCTATGTTTAGAAGATATACATACACATTTTAAGTGACAAAGATAATTATATATTTAAAAATAAGCCTTATTATTAGAATTGATATGCTGAATCAAATTTGTGTTGTAAAAAATTTAAAACAGCACTAGCTACTATAGTAATAGAGTACTGTATAGAGGTACACATGGGTAATAATTTTGGTTGTAATTTCAGTTTAACCATTAATGTCCCATTCATTATACCAAAACTCCACCCATGACGGCCCAATGTAAGGAGCATAACTCTGTATGATCAAGTGAATAGTTTCACAAAATATTTGTTTTTGTCTAAATGAAATTGAAAATTAAGATAAAAACTACTGCTTAATGTTGAGAATAAACCTGGCTTTCCAACAGTATTAAATAGAATATATTATATTCGGTACAAGTACAGAATAAAAATAAAAAATGTCGGAGAAAATTCAAAACACGTCATTTTCGGTAGTCAACTTTATTTATTTTTATCTAAACAACTATGCATCGAATTTAACAGTTAAATATCAATTTGGTTATGTTTAAGATATATAATTCATAAAATACATGCCTAGATACGTTTAGAGGCATTATTTTATTTTTAATATTAAATCTACTAAAAATAGGACAGATGAGTCTTAAATTTTGAGATAGAAAGAAACTTTTATTTTTTATCTTTCAAAAGCGCCATTGAAATTAGAAGACCGGAAAAGGATGCTGAAACTATCCGACTTCCTGTTTAGTTAAAAATTAGGATTTGTAGGCCAAATTTTAATGAAACAAATTTAATTTTTCTATGCGTATTGTAAGCGGGCGGCAGCGGGCGTTACGGGACATTAACGGTGTCGGGCGGCAGCGGGCGTTACGGGACATTAATGGTTAAGTACCTCTTGGCTCCAATGATGAATGTACCAGTCTGGAAACTATATGTGATTTACCTTGACATTTGTACATGACACATATTTTCACACAAAAATAAGTAGGCTACATTAGCTCTTTCTCTTAAAGTTCAGATGTTTCTCTGTTATAATTTTGTTGGGGTCGTGTAGTCAGTTCTGAGCACAGAACTATGGTCCAGGAATACAAAGCCTCAAGGCTTTTGTATTAGTAGTTCTCCACATCACCTTCTGTTCAGTAATGTGTTTAATGCTATTAAACTGGGCCTAGCATATTATCCATCTCCCACATTCACAACAATTGATTACAATTGCCTTTTGGAATACATATTATATTATTCCAACTCCCTAACCTTACCAGATTTCCCTATCCCTTACTGTTGTGTTGTGAAATGTATGAGAGGGGTATATGTGGGATGGAGTTTGTGTTGCCAGGCGGTGTCGTGTCCAGATTTGTTGTCATGCCATTGTGTTTTTGAATGGAGTGAACGAGGGCAACAAGTGAAGCAACTGATTGAGTGACAGCCGAGGTGTCAGTCAGAGTTTGCGATTAGAATTAGGAGGAAGCATGTTTGTGACCAGGAACAGAGAGATGGATACTATAAAGCTGACTTAATGCTCCCTAACTCAACTCCTAGTGTTGGTCTGTACCTACATATGTTGTTACAAAGTAGGCCCTTACAGTTACACACTTTGCGGAGCTGATACGGTTCTCCACAATTAGAAAACATGAGTATACAATCCCTATTATACCAGACATAGGACTGGTTCAGTAGAAAATACACTCCGTCCCACATATACACCCTTACCATATACCTATGTGTATCTATTTTTAATTGACCAGGTAATTGAAAGGAAGGTAATGTACATTGGGCAGTTGAAGGGGTGAGAGATACGGTCCTGATCTCATTAAACTATAATTGACGCAAGCTGAAATTCATAAGGATTTTAATTTACGGGTTATTTATTGGTACAATAAATAGTTCTGCATTGCATATTTTACATCCAACATCCACAGTTCAAGGCCATTATCATGGAGGCTCAGCTAGAAGAGACATTCCGAAGCCCACAAGCCCTGACATTGTTTGTGTTTAATGACACAGCCTACGCCCTGATGCCACCTTACAGGCTTGGCACTTTGTATGACAAGACAAGTGGAAATAATTTAGGTGCTAAGGAATATGTCAACTCCTTTACATGTAAGTAAAAAAAAAATTGCACAAATATCCAATATATAGCTTTCTATTTCTCTCTCTCTCTCTCTTTTAAGTAACATAAAATAGATGGCATGCATCTCCAATAGCCTCTGACATTTAAGTCCAGGCCTTGGTCTTCTGCTTGTGTGGCAACGCTGCTTTTACTAATAGGTGAATGTGAAGCGGTGAATGCCGGATACTTGGCACCAAAAATCTGGTATCTATCGACAGATGGGGCTACTCAGCCTAGTTAAGTAAGGCGATTCATCTAGATGCAGTGCCACTCTGATTTTAAACCCCATTTTGGTAAAAAGGATTCAGGGGTAAATCTTGAAGGAGTTATGTTTACCAGTTATGTTCTGGCCTTCTTTTGGAAACTTTCTGTAACTGAGCTGGTACCAAATATATTGCCTATCTTTTCATTGGACTGTACTGGCAAGGTCAATGGAGGGATCGTGATGCTTGGCCTAATTTTTGCTTTCCCATTTCAATCTATGATGACAGATAGACTGAAGAAGCAAGTTAAGTTAAATAAAAGCTGTAAAAAAATACCTTAATTTCCAAATAATTAAATCTGTTTAAAGCTTCAACATAAGTTGATTTGTTTGTTTTATTTTTTATACTCCTAAAATTTAGTAACTGAAGCAGTTGAAACATCTGCCTTTAGTGATGCTAATCCTATCACGACATATTCTGTAAGGAACCGTAAAGTATTTCTCAACAAAAGAGACCTCAGGAGTGGTGTAAGTATGAGTTATCTGCCATATTTTTAGATTTCCACATAGAAACATTTTATCTTTCTAGTTAATCCATTACCCCGTTTGTTTTAGCTTGTCATCTTGTTTTACTGTGGTCAATAATTCTCATATTATTTGTCCAGTTGTTATTCAATACATGTTTAACATAGAAGTTTTTAAAAAACAAAGCTAGTTTATGAGCTTTGCCTGTAAAATAATAGTGGTTTATTCCATGAATAAAGTCAATATAGAGACATTTTTGTTTTTTTATTTATATTTTCAAAGGTTTTACAATTTTTTAACTACATTATTGAGTTTGGTCTGATGCCTTTATTTTATGTTTTTGTCTGAACATCAGTAACCCTAATAGTTATGTATTTCCTTATCTAACAAATGGCATTTCCTCACCAGAATGTAGCCAGTGGTACCCCAGGCCCAACAAAATATTTCTGTAACGGAGGAATGTTAATCCGGCCCAACATACAAGCTGGCCAGCACCTGATTCACATCATAGACCAGGTTTTAGACATGCCACTAGAGGACAATGCCCTGGCTTATGTGTCTGGCTACAACCCGTCTAAGTTAACGTAAGTTCACATAAGTAGTTTCATGTGCACAAATTGGTCTGTTCACCTTTGAGTTAGACCTAATTTTATTATTTCTTACATCAATCTCATCACAGCCTTTAAAGTCATCATAAGGCACAATACTTTATTCATTTTTCTGTTATTAGCTCAGTTTAAATAGTTGGTTATATTATTTCCTTTGTTTGGATACCTCTGAATCCACTAAGTTCAGATAAGTAAATACTGCTTTTGTTAAGGAAAATGAAAATAAGCATTGTTTTACTTCTGAGGTTAGCTTAACTCATCTTATTGGTTATGCTATTTTGTTTTTTAAGTGTGCATGCAAATTTTAGTTAGCATTTTAATATCTTTTGTGATTTAGTGCATTGTTATTTCAGAATTTTTACAGTGTAGAAAATGTTTTGTTATGTGTTTATCTGTGAGTGTATGTTTGCTGGCATTAAATAACCAGTAGTATTCTCGGTACTCCAGGTATTTATTCTTCAGCAAGATTATGGAGTTTCTAAGAAAAGCCCCACAGGAAGATGGAGAATACAACTACAACAAACAGGTCCAACAAATCCTTGCAGGCAAACAGGTGACGTTTTTCATCCCGTCTGACGAGGCTTTGAACCTGATCCCATCACAGAAACTCAGTGAGCTACAGGGCAACACCAGGCTGATGCTGGAGGTATGTGTAAATTTGATTATATTATCTGATTTGACTGTTGATATAGAATATAATGTTTTTTTGTGGTAGTCTTTGTTTGTTAAGTAGGTTGGGTTAAGTTCTCATTGTTTTGATTTGTGTGGTTAGCACTAAGTCTGTTAGTTTCCCAATTTTAATCTAGAACCCACCAAAGCTAGGTTGATGCAAGAATAACCTACCACATGCCCCCTTGCCCTGAATAAAATAATCATCTCCAGCATGCCATTTGTGAAATAAATTTACTTTGTCATCCCCACTTTAAAAATGTTTTGCTATTCTTTCTATTAAAACAATTCTATAGTTGATTAAAGTTTATTTTTAATAATCATGTAGTAATGTTACTTAAGGATACTCCATAAGTGGCACCACAATCTTATGGAGGGGGTTTGGGTTATTCTTGTTTGATAATGGGAAGGTAGGTTGGGGGTTCAAAAATTATAACACACTAATTCATTTTAATTGTCAAGGCGAATATGTTTTTAATTAAACAAATTATTCACATGCGTTACTTTGATATGAATTAATTCTTTATGGATTTTATTATTTACAGATAATCACCCTCCATATCGTCCCCAACCAAGTCCTGTACACATCACTAGTTAACCACAATGAGAGATTCAACACACAGTTTAATTCAGGGGCTGTTGTCTTCAGGAAAAACTTCAACAGGGAAGCAGGTAATTAAGCATCACTTATGCTGGGTTTGCCAGGATATTTTTTTACTATTACTTTTAATAAATTTCCAACTTCAGTAATATTTCCTTGAGTACATTTGGGTAAATTATTTTATCTATTTTAATATATAACTGATTGTTTTGCAGTTCTACTCATCTAAGTGCATTGCAAACTTATATCCTTCTTCACTTTTGTCATATTATTCATTATATATGTATTCTTATATTTGATTTTACAATACAAGCATATGATACTTGCTTATTGAAGAACTCAATTCATTTTACTTTTTAAATTGATCTAAGTTTACTAACTTTATTTAAGTTTATGTGACGGGTGCACTAAAAGGCGGCCGAACTGTAACAGCCAAACTTAACCCAGGCAACAGAACTGTTCTCAATGGTGTTGTCCATCAGATTGATGCCATGCTGGGATTTGTTTACAAGACTGCTATTGAGGAGATTCAGATTGATCCTAACACTCAGTAAGGTTTTTTGATAGCTGGCATTAAATTTTTCTTAGTCTATGGTGAAAAATGTGTAACATATAGGTCTTCTTCATTCAGCTGTCATCTTTGAGATTCTTTTAGAGGTTTCTGCCAAAATCCTTATTTCCAAACCTAATACTATCATTTTTAGTATTTAGAGTTAAGCCTAAAAGTAAAAAAAAATGGCCCAAAAAATTTCCTGCCGTTGCCATGGTGATGGTGGCCATATCTGGGATTTTATTTACCATAAAGTACTACATTTTTTTTTTTAAACATTCAATATAAAGACCACATGTACTCCCACTGAAAGATGTCTAATCATATTTTGGCATAACCTAGAAAGCATAACTTTTTTTTTTCCTTTTTTAAATTTATTATCTGTTTTTTTTACTTTTGTATATACAAAATATAGAGAAAGTCTTGTAATCGTGCAAAAAAAAATTGAGATTTTTTTACAAATCTCGACGTTTTACACCTCACTGATACGGAAAAACATAATTTTGCAATCTTGTCTGTGTTTGTGTGTATGTCTGTGTGTAAACACGATAACTTGGGTACCGTTACAGCTAGGTTGATGAAATTTAATATATAAGTATTTTATCGAAATCGTAGATCCGTATCAACTTTAGAGCTATTTTTGATAACCCGCAGTGGTACTTTTTTCTACTTTGAATTTTTCAAAAGCCTATAACTTGAGAACTATTTAGGATAGATAAATGAATTTTCACATGTAAGTAAAAGATCTGGAAGTACTAATTTACGCTATTTCCGATTTCTCAAAAAACGCATGTAAATTTATAAAGTACTAATAATATTGTGCACGAATATGCACATTTTGTTTTGTGTTAGCTTGGTGGGCAATTCTTTTTTCTATGAGATTCTATTCTATTTTTAAAAGTTTAAGTAATTAAAAATCATGTCTATATTCCAAGTTATATAAGAATATTCGAGAAAGTTTAGCGGAGATCACTCCCGGTTTATTCTTTAGCAGAGTTTAATTTTGCATTCCATTTTAGTCTCTTCTGATTTTTTCAAATGACTGGTATTTTAAAATTATTTTCTGGCAGTTTTGATTTTCCTACAACTGTCCTTTAAATAATATTCAAATTTTTTTCTATTTTCATTTTACAGAAACTTTGAGCAGCTGATCTTTGCAGCAAGAAAAGATCTACAGAACTACATCACAGCCACCAGTGGTGTTGTTGTTTTTGTACCAACCAACCCAGCTATGTACGCCATCGCTAACGTCTACCAAAACTACATCAACAACCAGTCATTGATCAACATGGTGGGTGGTTTAAAGAATTTTTTTTTTCCATAGCGATCTCTATGCACTTGACAGTAGGAGTAGAGTAGCACACAGTAACTGTTACAGAGGTTGTGAGCTTTATAAATGGGAGCTCTCAATTAAGCTGTGAGGATTTACACTACAGCTTGATTTCCACTACCAGATCATTTCAATACGATTTCATTCTGAGAAAGCAGGATAATTAGGCCTACTTAACACAGAAAGTTTAATTCTTATTTTATTCCACAATTATAGATGACATAGTCACTAAATATGTGACATTCTAGACAAGACTTGAGTATATATATGCACACAAGAAGAACACTGTATACAATTTCTGGCACAAAACCTTCCTCTTCTTTACACACAACAAGACAAAGTGCAAACTATCCTTCTTCCCCAGCAACAACGCTACTACACTAAAATGTCACAGCTTTGCTTACCGTGTCACAAAGCAAAAATCTTTTCACAACACATACTCTCATACCTTTATGATAGTCAACATTCATTTCTTATTGAAGTCTGTGCTAATATTTTAAAGGACTTTCCAGCTATTTCAGTACTTGACTTAATCAAAAGATTAGAAATCACCGGCTCATAATGCTGAACCTGTGATTCCCTTTATCCATAAGTTACAAAAATGGATTAAAATGGACCATCTTAATTGTTTTTGCTGTAACACAACTATTAACATTAATTTGTCAGCAAATTTTTTCAGCGTTTGTATTCTGTACACAATTTTTGTGTACCAACAGGTCTGGTTCTATATAAGCTGGAGCCAAATGTTTATTATCATAAAATTTTTTTTTATCTCAATAACTCTGTGCAGTTTATTAATGTTTAATTTTAAAATTTGTATAAATAATCTGTTGCCTATTTATCACATAGGTTCTAGAGATGAGCCTTCTACAACAAGGCCAGTCTATAAACTTAATGGATTATAACGGAGGATATGAAGCTTATAAAACAGCTGTCTCAAGATACAATGGACGTCTGATCAAGGTTTACAGTGAAGGGAATGGTAAAATACAATGCTTTTCAATTATATTACATTTTGATTACAAATTATTTAACTTTAATTTTCACAAACTTATTAATACATTTGTTTAAATAATGAAGTGGCTAAATTGTATTTGAAATGAAAATGTTTTAAAGAGCGTTCATGCTTTTTATCTCACAATTATAGACACATGGGTAGAAGGAGGATATGTGAAGGCCAGAGTGATCAAACCTGACATAGGTGTCACTAATGGTGCGGTCCATCAGATTGATGCAGTTTTTGGGATTCCCACTCGGGATATTCCGTACACTGTTTTCTGTGAGGACTGGCTCGTGTGAGTAGATTGTTTTATTTAAATGGAGAAAAATATTCTTACTTGCAAATAGAAATATTATTTTAGGACTACAACAATGCACATGTGATAAGTTCAGTCTCACTCCCTCTTCAGTATCACAACACTTATTTAAGATTATTCATTTTAAGTTGAAGTTACTTTTGCATATTGTCAGAACAGTGAAATTTTATTCTATGACTGCTCTCAAAGTTCAAGATACCAGTACAAAAATAATTGTTTAAAAAATGTGTTGCTTAAGTAGTAAAAAATTTTATGTAACCTGTAAAATAACAACCACTCTAATGTTAGCATCTTAAATTTTTGCACAAGGAAGATGTTATAGTTTCCGGACTTTTTTCTCCATATCTTTTTAAAGAATCAATAAACTTTTACTTTAATTTAAAATCAGTTTATATCATATCCAATCATAACTGAAAATAAATAAATATTCATTTGTATGTTTAATGTAAAAATAGAAAGAAAAAATGATTTCACTGAATAAAGTGCATGTGCATAAAAATCAGTTAATATTGGTTAAATAAAATTACTTGTAATTCTTAGAAAGGTATTCAATGTTGATTTTTAAAAATTTTCTGTGTTTTATCCAAAAGGTCAACCTACATCCAGCTAAAGTACGTAGGTCTGGACGCCTACATGAGAGATCCAACTCTGACCAGAAACCAGGACTGTGTGTTTAGTGCCAGTGCTGCTGCTGGTCAAGTCCCTCCTGCTGCTGGCACCTGGCAAACTAACACTGGACAAGCCAATCAGAATCAAAATTTCTACGGAGGCTTGTGTGGCGATGGTCTTCACAGGTATAGACTTTTTTTTCATATGCATGTTCATTATTCTCATTCAGCACTGAGAAACTTTTGGTAATGTCCAAAATAGCACTTCATCCAATTTTTTTTTTAAATTAATTATATGAAGTACTTTTGTCAGTTTTCTGTAATGAAACAATTACTAACTGTAACTTTTTTTATATTAATACACCATTTACACATACGTTTCAATTTTCCTTAGATGTGAGTTTACATTTTTTGTACCAAATGGAACTGCTATTGACAACTTTGCATTGACTGCTTATGGACGACAAATTATGAATGACCAGAGGAGATGGAGATGGGTAAGGTTTTTTCTTCTTTAATTTTGTTACATTGTTCATTAGACATTCATGAGAACTGCTATCTTCAGAGCGACTACTTGATATAAATACTTGTTTTTAAACTAAAATTTATGAAAGTATATGATTTTTAAAAGCCTTTTTAAAGTTACCTATCAATGGAATCGATACAGTTTCTAATTCAATAATTATGAAAGTGTTATGATTAGTAAACCACTACATTAGATTCATATAGATTATTTTTTAAAAATACGTATTCATCATGAGCTGGATTTGATGTTCAGAGCAATTCAATTATAAGTTGTAGATCAAAAGCATTGATATTGTTACTTTTGTTTCATTGTATAAATAGGCTGTCATATTAGCATATGTAAAGGACTGAATTCTTTTTTTTATTTTTAGCTTCTAAGAAGTGTAACGGACTTGTTTTTTTGGTTTATTTTTAGCTCCTAAGAAGATTAATCACATTCAGAGAGAAGATTTACATTGACCAGCTGGCTTATGGTGCACCTAGGAGTTATTATGCTGACAATGGTGAAGAGATCATCATACAGACAGACTCCAGGTCCAATATCCCCAGTGGACAAAGAAGTGAGTAGAAGATTTAACACATGATTATGACTAATGATAATATTGTGATCCTTCATGATAGAACAGATTCCTACTTCTAGTAAATTGTAATTTTTTTTGTATTGTAATTTAATGTTCTTAGTAAGTAAATTTAAGATTTAATTTTTCTACCTACATACTTCCAAGTTTTCCTGCTTAGATCCAGGGTGGAATTATTTCCCAACTTATATTCTATTTATGATTTTTTTTTCTAAATAAATCATTTTTTAAAGTTCAAATACAAAATTTAATTCATTCTTCTTAAAATAATTCCACTTGCACTATTTTTAAATAAACAAAGCTTGTGCTAATTCCAAAAATGACTACCTCCAGTTTTAAAATTACTTAGGCCCAAAATCCATATGTATCTAGTTTAAGATTTTTAATATTTAAAATATATTGGTAATTGCTAAAAATTGACAGGTTGTTTAAAGCTTAGTATCAATTCCTTAGACCTGACCATAATCTTTAGCAACTACTGAGGCTGTTTGCGTGTTCGGGTTGAGAGAAAACTGACCGTAACCTTTCACTTTACTGTCGTATTAATCTCATATAAAGATTAATCTTGAATCTGTTGTCCCCCGTCTAAAATTTGTATGAGCAGAAAACTTATTTTAAAAAATTATTTTCTCTTTACCACAGCAACCTACATCATGTTTGGAGGTGTCAGAGCGCAAGTTGTACACTCAGATATTGGGGCCACCAATGGTGTCATCCACATTATAAGCTCTCTACTTTTTATACCAGAGGACTTAAACAGGGACATCAGCGGTGCGGCTCAACATAAGTTATCGGTACATTTTGTGTTAACTTTCAGTATACTTGCAATAATTATCTCAGCCTTAAAATTGTTAACAAACTTGTAGATATTCTATCATTAGATCTGTTTCTTTTGCTGCACATAAAACACTATAAGGCATTTGTACATATTATGGTTGTAAATTGGCCCTTCATTGGACAGCTGTACATTTTTCTTACCAGCAAATTTTAATAACCAGCCTAGTTAGGATGAGTTTTAGGTTTTTAATCAACCCCTAATTTTAGATTTTAGTAATGCCAAAATTTTGTCAGCATCCAACTATCTTCTACTTCTTTTTATCCTCAACTACCCACTACTAAGTTAAATATGTAAGGTTTCCTACTTTATTTAATAATGTTTAATTTATGACTACTGTAAATTATGCATATTTCAAACTAGTAATACTTACACAGCACTTACATTTACATCATGAATACCATACATGTCTGGAAAAAATGCAACAAATTAATTTTATTATATGGAAACATTTTCCCCACTGAACATGTATATTTACTTGCTGGGTTATTTCTCTTAGACGTGTAGTTAGTGTTGTAATTGCAAACATAGTGTTTAAATAATATGGGTTCTGTGTTTAACAAAATACAAATTAAAATCAGCTTGTAAAATTTATTATCTAACACCGCAATTACACTTGTGACATGTACGCTATACACATCTAGAAAAATAAACTTTGCCATAAGTTTATTTTATCAGAATTTATCAGGGGGGGGAGGGTTTAATCACTTACTTCGAAGATATTTTTTTTAGACATGTGTAATATGCGTGTTGCAGGTGTAAATGTTGTATACCAATTTTTGTGCGTGTGGTTTGTTGACAGAAAATTAGTCCTATTTTAGACTCTATTCAAATAATCAATTCACACTGTGGTTGACATTTGTTTTTAAAGTAAGCAGATTTTTTTTATGTTAATAAGCTGATGTAGCAGCTATGTGAAGCATATACATTTAATAGAAGTTTGCCTTATCAGTGTTGAATTTTATGTACATAAGCGTGAATATTCTTGTGGTCAAGTTTTCTACAATGGCATAATATTACTGGTATGAGATGTAAGTAGTTAGTCATAACACCAGATACAGATTTTATATGTACAGAAATGTTAGCTCAACTGTAAACTGTGCGAACATAATTATGCACAAAACAAATTATGCTAATTCGCTTTCATGTAGTGATATTTCAAGAAAAAGTGTTTCATTTAACAATTTTCATGTGATCATTTTTCGCAAACGTATATGAATTATCTAGTTAATAAGAAAAAAAATTCCCTTAAGCACATTTATATGTGCGGTTTTCATCAGCATATTTTTTTCTGGTCATAATAGAAATGTGTAGGCTTTAAAACAATAGGGTAGTGAGGGCAGTCCCTATTGGTTCTGTTCTCTCAGTTAATGTAAATGAGCTGTGGACTGGATTGTTGCTGTGGGTTGAAGACCTGTGTAAGAAATTGTGTGCTCTACATCTTGCCAGCATCACCCCAGACACTGTGTGTAACTAATTTGCTTCCAATTGACTTCTTCATGTTTAATATCTCTAAAGATATTTTAATTTGTTTTATCATGTTTCTTTTATTAATTAACATTTTGTTTTAACATCATTCATAATTCCCTTAATATATAATGTTAGCAGCGTGTGAATTTTATAAGATTAAAATTTGTTAGATAATAGATCATTAATATTCAAATTTATTGAGACTAGTAGTTTGGATTTATGATGTAAAGATAACACTTTTTCCGCTGTGTTGCTGAAATCCGATTTTTTTTATTTAAAGATTTTTTTAAAAAATATTTGTAAATTTTACTTTGCTAGACTTTTTCTCAAAAAAAAATCATTTAAAGTTTTCTCACAAAATGGTTACGCTGACAAATTAATTTCACAAATTATTTCCCAATGGCCATTTTTTTGTGTGTGTATGATTTATTTTTTTGTGTGAATTTTTAGTACATTTTTTTTTTAAGCCCTTTTACTACATTTGTTTCAACAATTCTAACCATTCCTTACCAAAGTTGCACATATTATGTGCATACATGAACACAGTCTGAGTCGTATTTATACTGTCTCAATTCTACCACCTGTGTAAATTATATATATTGTTGAATTTTTTGAAATTTTAATTTTCAAATAAATAATTTCTTCCTGAAAAGTTCTATTAATACCCACATGAGAGTTGATTTCTTTACATGTCTGATCAAATTTATGGACAGCCCTTTGAATGGTCCATCGTAAATGAGTGACATGTTAATGTAGTTAGAAAAAAAAAATTGTAAATAGTGCTCAATATCCTCAGGTTGGTGTCAAAGATGTTTAGAATAAAGTTGTGCTTATAGTTCATCATGGTAAAGTTTCATCAAAACATGAACTCAGACTAAACTTCTTTCTACATCAAAAAATATTACTTAAATATTTGTGTACAGTTGAATTATAACAAATATACATTTGTTGATTTGTGTAAGGTCTAAAAATGTTTTCTTGTATGTTTTATAAAATCTGAAGAGTTGCCAACATTATAAAGGTACAAGTTAGTGCTTGTATTGATTGTACTAACTCCAAATTGGTTCTACTGTAGTTAGGATCATTGTTTTTTTTACTATAAATTCATGTCTATTTTCTATACTCTGTATGTGTATTACACACGTTTGTTCCGATTGCAATATTCTGCACTGCTAAAACATTAACACATAGGTTTATATTGTTTTTGTTCATTTTTTCAATACATTTTTTTCGCCTTATGAGTGTTGTCAAATCTATTACAATTAATTTTTAGGTTTTACATCACTGAAATTTTAAGTTCAGTGGTTTTGTGTTCTACAACTTTAGAATTTTTAAACTTGTGAATGATTTCACTGTAAAAAGATTGTGTTGTTACTGTAAGTTGCCAGCCTTTTGACTCAATTTTATTGCAGCTGTTACCTTTTACTAATTGTTCAATGTATGCACAGTGGAAATACATTTTTAATGTATCTTTTACACAACTTTTACAGCAACTGCAAACACATTTCTCAATTTTTGTGCAGCTATGTTTAACTTCACTACTATCTAATCTACACTTTATTGTTTTGTTCTTATTTACATTAACTAAAGCAAATGATACATTAATGCATAAGCTCTCTTTACTACCAGTAAACTACTCCTGTTTGTAGCACTTTTAGAAAAAGGATTTAATGTATTTAAACATTTTTATTCTGTAAATTTAGATTGCAGAAAACATTTTGCTCAACACTTTGATAAAGATGCAGCGATTTAGCTGATAAAATATGTTGTGTGCATGCGACTGACCCATGTTTTAGATTTCTATTCGCTACAGATCACGCCTTGTTGGGTAGCTAAATTTTAAAATTGTCTTGCATTTAGTTTTGTCAGTTGTAAGCATTTGTTCTTCTTTTTCTGGTTTTGTCAACTAGATTATCCTATGCAAGGATTTTATGTTCTACAGGCATATATTCAGTGTTTGTTGACAGCTAAGAGGAGACCTTTATTAGTGGCTAAGATGCATATAAATTATTATAGATGTGTTGCTGTTGAAGTTGCATGTATACACAACATATCATTCATACTGCACAAAAAGGATGGCTTCATCACTTATGAGTACTTGATATTACTAATTGTTGGATGTTCAGATAGTTCAATTCTGTATTGTAATGGTCAGTTGGGCGTGTGGTTGTTTGATATGCATGTTTCTATTATCTGTGTAAATACAATTTAACAATCAGAATTTGATTTCTATCTCTTTTTGTGTAAATATATTTTTTTTTCTGATTGTCACCATTAGCATGTTATTGTTATAATATCAGCCATTTATAATTTATTTCTGCTAGATCACATTCCACTACTGTTGATTTACAATATGATGTATATTGCAGCTAAGTAATAAGCTCATTTTTTACTAAAGATTTGATATCTTTTAATTGGCAGATATTTTTAACCATAAAAACATGTCTGAAAGCAACATCATATTTTTCGTAATAAAATATAGTATTTACTTTTTTGTGCTTTCTGGTTGTTTTATAATTTATCCTTATGATCTTGTTGTTTTTTTCCACTCATATAGTTTAAAAGTTTAAAAGTGAAAGATATGGACTCAAAATAAATTTATTCACTAAGGTGAAAAGATCTCAGAAAATCACCCTATTAAAAAAAATACAATTTTTAACTGATGCTTCAGAATACTTACTTGCGGACTAATCACCGAAACAAAACAAAGAAGACATGTTGAAGAAAGAAATCAACCCAAGAATATGGCACAGATTATTTATAGATTTAGGAAAGTCATGGCAAGCTAGGCCCTCATTTTGGAATAGCCAGGACAACGGAGAAAGACATGGGTGAAATAATCTTGATTAAATGGTATGCATGGGGTCACTAGAAGGATCACAATGCCAGAAAGCAGGACAGGACAGAGTTGCCACAAAGGCTCTCATTCTTATGCATTAATGACAAGACTTATATCTTTTAGTGGGATGACAGGCTAACCACTACTACTACTACTATAAAGCCACCTATTCACACTTGCTAAATTAGCCAACATTGTATCTCATAACATGCTAAACTGGATAAAAGGTTACCTAAGCAACCGAAAAGCATCAGTCTCCATGCAAGGAAAAAGAAGTCACACTGTAACTATAAAAAATGGAGTCCCTCAAGGAGGAGTCTTGTCTCCTACTCTCTTTCTCATTTATATAAATGACTTAAATGAAAACATCCCAAGGAGAGTAAAAAGAAGCATGTTTGCAGACGACCTTTCACTAATCAGCACAGAGGAATATATTGGTACTTCAAAATTTCGTCTTCAAGAAACACTTGACAAGCTCGGCAAATGGACCAAAAACTGGGGCTTATCCATCAATACCAAGAAAACAACTTATTCAATCTTCACCTTATCAACTAAACATCAAAAAATGAAACTTACCCTAGAAAACCAAGAGCTAGAAAAAAATGACCACCCCAAATACCTAGGAGTCACTTTTGACACTCGACTTACCTGGAGAAAACAAATAGAAAACACACAAAGTAATGGGATCAAAAGACCTAATCTAATGAGGAAACTGGCAGGAACAGACTGGGGTGCAAATCACCACATCCTGAAAAAAACCTACACCAGCTATGTGAGACCTACGTTAGAATATGGTGCTTCGGCTTGGGGCTCAGCAGCAAAAATAAATATTAGCAAAATTGACAAAGTTCAGAACATTGGTTTGAGAATAATGACAGGAGCCATGAAAACAACACCCATAAAAGCTATGGAGGAAATAGCCGCTCTTAGCTCAATAGAAGAAAGAAGAGAATCAAAAATCCTCACTCAATACACAAAGCTAGAGGCACTGGAAAACCATAACCTAAAACAAAAACTCCAGAAACCCAGTCCATCAACCAGACTACAAAGAACAAGTTTCATCAAAGAAGCAAAGAATCTGAAAAAGAAATATGAAATCGAAAATATCATTCCTGAAGCAATAAAAACTCAAAACCTCTCCCCGCCTTGGATATCCCACTGTCACTTAACCATTATTGACTCAATAGACACCATAGGAAAAAAATCAGACTATGATCTAGAAGAACTTAAGAAAATAACAAATAAACACATTAAGGATCAGTACCCCAGCAATACCTGGATTAGAGTTTTCACAGATGGCTCAGCTAAAGATGCCACAAAAAATGGCGGGGCTGGCATCCTTATTGAATGGCCAAGCGGAGAAAGCCTGGAAAAGGCAATAGCCACAGGCAGCCTATCCGACAATTTTAGGGCAGAAAAAGAAGCTTTAGAACATGCAGCAAACCTCCTGTCAGAACACCCTGAATCACCAAATAGTCAGATTGTATTTCTCACAGATGCCAAATCAGTCCTGCAATCCCTACAAAATCCAGAGTCCTATATTCAAACACTTATGACAGCACTAGAGAGGCTAAAAAATACCTGCAGCAGAATTGTGCTGCAGTGGATCCCGGGCCACTGCCAGATCCAGGGTAACGAGATCGCAGACCAGCTGGCAAAAATTGGGGGAAAGAAACCACAACCGGAAATTTCGCTACACCCAAAAGAAATAAAAAGAATAATAAAAAACAAACGCAAATGTGGTCTGTCACACACCCTCACTACATTAAAGACGACGGCTATTATTATTTAACACGAAAACAACAATACATAATCTTTCGACTTAGAACAGGCCACAACAGACTAAATCAACACATGCACAGAAAACTGAAGGTTGGGTGTAGCGAAATGTGCCCTTGTGGCAAGGCCCCGGAAAACACGGAGCACGTACTCCAGGAATGTACTTTGTATAGCCAGGCACGAGACAGACACTGGCCCCAGCCCACCCCACTCAGGGAAAAATTATATGGGGCACCTGACAAACTGGAGACCACAGTCCAGTTTGTCCACGAAGTTGGACTTGTCTGAATCCTCCACCATATTCACAAATTAAGATCGAAGAAGAAGAATCCAACATTGTATTAATATATGATACAGCAGCATTCATCTGATGGAGTTAGTCATTCTAGTCTCTTGTTTGGTGATTTTAAACAAGCTTAGTGACATGTTTGATTATAATCACCCAGCAATGTATTAAGCTGTATTATTCAAGACAGCTTTAATCTCTTGCTTTGCAATTATTATGGTATACATTTATTTTGCCATGATTTCTTCAATAGGGAAGTGCTGCATACATAAATTAACAAAATACTAATATAAAAAAGTATAATAATAATAATAAAAATAATTTTATAAATTTACATAATACTTAGACTCACTGTAAAACACAATGAAATAAATTGTAGATTTATAAATATTATAATTGATCCTGTTACAATAAAAACAAAGTTTTTTATGGAAAAGTTTTATTTAAAAAAATACATTTAAGTAATGACAGAAGTATACATTAAATGTTAATGATCACAAAAGAGCAGAACAATAATGTTTCTAGTTAAATGGACATTCTTTGAAGTAGTCTAATTAAACAAGAACACACAACTAAACATATTTTTATCTCAAAATGTATTTGTATCTTATGTATGTGTGTTTTTAGGGATATTTATTCTTTATTGTATGTTTTTTTTAATGTTAAAAGGACAATTTAATATTGTGTTTATTTTCTCATTGTCACCTTTTACAACACAATCTAGAATAACTTTTATAAACTGATAAAGCAGGGGAGATAATCCTGTAATCATTTCTCTAAATTCTCCATGATTGTCTGTGCTTGCTTCAGTTCTAAAAAAAAATTAAACAAAGAGTTACCAAAGTAGGTAAAGGATAAAAATCCAGCAACGATTACAAAACATGCGGAAACAAAAATTATTTTATTACAAAATAATATATTTCAAGATAAAGAATTTATAAATATATTGTAAGTAGTTTTATATCTATTACCGCGTTACCGAAGTAGGTAAAGGAAAAATATCCAGCAACATTGAAATGTGGCTTTCAAAACTTGAGAAATCAAAATTCTCCAAAATGTTATTTATTATAAAAAAAAGGTTAGATAAAAATTTGAAATTTTATTGCAATCTTATATTTGTTGTATCTTGTGAAAAAAAAAAGTTTCAATAACATGGTCCTAATAAGTTTTGGAATGGAAAAACTAAGACTAACTACAGCTCTAATTTGGTAAAAAAAAAACAGAGCAATACATAAAAAGTGAGGTTTAATTAATTCAGGTTAGGACTTTAACTGTAAGTTTTATGTAAATGTCAGAACTCTAAACTTACCATGTAACAGAAATCTAGACGTGTCAGCGGTCAGTGTAAATATCAAAACTCAACATGTAACAGAACTCTAAACTTGTCAGCGGTCAGTGTAAATGTCAAACTTACCATGTAACAGAACTCTAAACTTGTCAGCGGTCAGTGTAAGTGTCACAACTCACCATGTAACAGAACTCTAAACTTGTCAGCGGTCAGTGTAAGTGTCACAACTCACCATGTAACAGAACTCTAAACTTGTCAGCGGTCAGTGTAAGTGTCAGAACTCACCATGTAAATGAACTCTAAACTTGTCAGGGGTCAGTGTAAATGTCAGAACTCACCATGTAAAAGAACTCTAAACTTGTCAGGGGTCAGTGTAAATGTCAGAACTTACCATGTAACAGAACTCTAAACTTGTCAGCGGTCAGTGTAAGTGTCACAACTCACCATGTAACAGAACTCTAAACTTGTCAGCGGTCAGTGTAAATGCAACAGGTTCTGGATTAGCCGAGTCCCCTTGGGTGACTCCAAGCTTCAGTTGGACACTGGGCTCGTTGACTTGCTGATAGCAGAAATCATGAATCGTTTTAAATACATTTCAGTATAACAACATCAAACTTTAAAAAAAAAAATAATATTTTTTAGCTTAGTTACTAATACTAATAAAATTGATCAAAAAAATTGCAAAACAAAACAATTTCTTTTTGTTTTTTTCAAAAAGCAAATATACTACTTAAGAGTCTTAAGTCTATATTAACCCCTTTACCGTGTGTCACGAGTTAACTCGTCATATAAAATCTTGGGCTTAACCGTACATCATGAGTTAACTCGTCTTCAGATAAAAAAGTCGTCTGTGTGCCGTGCGTCGCGAGTTAACTCGTTTTGATACGAAAATACAAAAATAGCATTGGAAATCATTAACAATGTAGAGGGAGGCTAATCTAACAGCCAATTTAACAGCCTATGATAAAAATAGGTCATCACGTGATGTTGGTACTGTGCTTTTTAATTACCTTCTTTATATTTACCTCATAAATTCTAAATGTCAACTCATTTTCACTCAAAATGATGTTTTATTTTGTCAGGACAACATAACAAATCAAATAATGAAAAAAAAATACACAGTTTCCAAAAAAAAAGTTTTTTTTTTCCACAGTAAAGGGGTTAATGATCATCTTCAGGAACTGTCATTTTAGTTAACTCTTACACCATGTCCTAAAGCTCGTGATTGAATTTATGTTTTAAAAAAAAAGTAAAGCTCCCCTTTCTAACCTCGGATGGTTGGGTGTTTGACTGCTAACCCAAAAGTCTCAAGTTCAGATCTCGAGGCTGTTCGACATACATGATTCCACCCAGCTCTAATGGGTATCTGACTCAAATTAGGGAAAGTAAAGCCTAACCACACTATGGCTTCATATGCCATGATCATTGAAAGAGGTGAACTTTACTTCACCTGCCCCACTAGGTTCAAATGGGTACATTTTATGGCCTACTTACAAGGACATTATAATTTTTTTCAACCAATGGCATAAATGTGACATTGTAGTTCTATAAAGGAATTTCTACCAAACAGTACAACAGTGGCAGTTAAAAAATGGAAAAATTGGATACCCACCTGAAGTTCACTTGAACTAAGAACATAGTCAACTCTCCATTGCACTGAGTCAAGATTTGATACTGCAAATTTTAATACATTACAGGAAATGTAAACAAAACTTTTTTTGTATATCTAGCAGCATTAACCATTAAAGTGCACGCCACGTGGTCTTACGCGTTATAAGTTATGTAACAGCAAAGCCACAATCGTGGCTTGGCGCGCTTTAAGGATTAAGCTCATAGAAAGCTTTGTTTTAGTTTTTTTTCTTCTTATTGTCACATTGTTGTAAAAAAATACAACTGTTCTTCATTCAGTTTTTTTGTTAAAAATTTAAAAATTATGTCCACTTTTGGTTTTTATGTATCAATATAAATTAGCTTTGGTATTTACAAAATTAAAATATTTATATTTATATTAAAATAGAAGTATTAAATACCAATCTTAGGTCTATAATGTTAAAAAAAAATTTAGAAAAAATATATATTACTTTTTTAAATACAGAAGATGAGGGGAAGTATTACAATAATGAAAAAAAAATCAAAATTGAATTTTTGACAAATATTATGTTATACAACTTCTTGAGTTAAAAAACCTAACTGACCTCGTAAACTTGTCTGTCTAAAATGTTCCTGTAGCTTGACCTGAGCATCAGAGTAAGATTTACACAGTGACGTTGTGTGTTCTGAGGAAGGTATTATTTCAATCACTCAACATAATTCATTAAATCTGAATTAGTGTATTCATTTACAACATAGTTCATAAATGTGAATGTGGTGTATTTATATACAAAAAATTCATGACATGTGAATGTAATGTATTCATATACAATTGACAACAAAATTAATCAAATGTGAATGTAATGTTTTCATATACTGCTAAACAGTATTGGTAGCACTATACAGAGATTTCAACAAATTTAAAGAAGAGAAATAAATTAACAAAAATTTTGGCTGATACATAATGTCATAAAAAGTTAGATGACAGAAAATTTAGCTGATTTTTAATCTAAATCCTGCTTTAAGTCACAAAAAAGGCAGAACAGCCACATTCCTTTAAAATAACATCATAAAATTCCCCTAGCTTCCAAAATATCAACATACATTAACAGGTGTTCCAGATTTTGTATTATTTTTAAAGAACACAGGATATTTGCTATTACATTTCTGAAGAATCCCCCCTCCCCACCTATAAAGACAAAATACATCATCCCAACAATATCAGAACCCCACCCCTCCCCAATTTTGAAAAACACCTGGCCTGTCATGTTATTTCTAAATCCTTCTCTAAGATGACCCTGAGCTACTTACCCTTAGGTAAACCTAGTTGTTGCAACTCATTGGAGAGAGTCTCGCCATCTACATCATACTTGGCTGCACTAGACAGAATAAAAGACAGCGCAGCTATGGAGGCTTTGATGTCTCCAGTTTCTGAAATTTACAATGAGACAATAAGTAAATTTGTTAAATAGAATGTTCTGTTAAATTTGTGTTTTATAAAAGACAGTAAAAATAAAAGCTTTGATATCTCAAGTTTCTGAAATTTAAAATAAGGCAATACAAAATTTGTTAAACAGAATATTCTTTTAAATATATAGGTCTTATAGAAAATAGGACAAAAATGTAAGCTTTAATATCTCTAGTTTTTAAGGTTTTAAAGTAGGAAATATGTAATTTGCAGCATAATAATTTTCTTTTAATTTACGTTCCTTAGACTGAAACAAGTGAAGACTGACTTTATGAGATGGCCTCCATGATTAGAGTCAGTAATTAGTAGTTAAATGTAATGACAGCTGAACACATTGCTGACCACTAAATATTGAGCTCACAGAAAAGACAAACTCTAGAGCATCTGCCATAAAACTAGCAGTTCTAAAAAGAGTTTTTTGTTTTAAGACACAAAACATTTACTGTTCTTACCAAACTTGGCGTCAGAGGTTAACTTGTGAACTTTATCATACTGAAAAGAACATTTACAAGTTTTATTTAAAAAACTGTTAGTTAAAAAAAGGAAAAAAGAATAATTTTTGTTTTGTGTGGATGTTTAGTTAAAGTAATTTAGTGTTGATAAAATTTATTATATTTAGAAAGCAAAACACATCAGATGAAAGGTGATTTTTTTTTTACCTAAAGCAAAAATAAAATAAATTCAATTCACACACTGAGACTACACACAAATGATAGTGCATATGACGAGTTTGAATGTTGGTTCAAGTATGTAGGACGTACAGGAGTCCACACAGCTCTGTTAGAAACCTGATTAACATTAGGGAATGTAAAGGCAACTTGGCATAGTGCTGAAAACACTATCAATGCATACACTGAGGTCACAGAAATAGGTGAAATCTACTTCACTTACCCCTTGAACTATCAGGTTGGAAAAGGAACTTTACTTACAATGTGGTCAAATAAACAAAGGTCAACTTACGTCTATTCCTTCCCCAAGTAAATCTTTTAATACTTGAACTGCTAGTAGTTTGATCTTTACTGATGTCTGCAAAGTTAAAGTTTCAACGAACATTTAAAGTAAGGTACTTGTGCTTAAGATTAAAGTCTAAGGAAATGAAAACACTGTCATTAAATATGAATCATTACAAATGGACTTGAAAAAGGTACTTACAATCTTTGAGAGTATGTTAATTTCTGCAAGGACCCAATCTGGGCAGTCTAGATCTCCACAAAATCTAAACCTCTGAATAAAAGAGTTAGTAAAGAACACAGTTACTTGACTATTCAGAGCACAATTAACTTCTTCATGCTGAACATATGAGGAGACAACACTGAGGTAAAACCTTAAATTAAGACAGGTCCATCTACACATCGTCTTGCCAATGCCAGGGTACTATCATTTCCCTCGTAACCAGGTTACCACACACCACAATAATGCAATGTCTCTAATATACAGTCCAGTTATTCCATTTATTTTTTCAAAACTTTTGAAAATTTGCATTGTATATCTAGGTATATCTAGGTTTATGATCTAATCTTGTAAACAAATTTTAAATCATTTTCAATTAATTGACCTCTTTCAATCTTCCCAGATAAATTCTCTGATTAGGATGGAAAATTATCTTATGATCAATTCATTAAATTAGTCATTACGACCTAATCTAGAACATTTTTATCTGTCTTTTTATCCAATTTGTACATTGAGAAATCAAACATTTCTATTCAAGTCTTTTCTTCTTCTTCGTTCTTAATTTTTAGTGTTGGGAGGGATCGAGCCTTATCTGCCAGAGGGTTTGAACTCGCGACTTTTTTGAATTTATCAACCATGAGCTTTGCCGACTCGACCATGCTTCCATCACAATTAAGGATTACGTGTCAACTGGTTATGCGCCATTGAGGCCATTGACTCCGATTTCAGCCTGCTTTTCTTTTTGGATTTGCTTCCATAGCCTTTGTCCAACCAAGAACAAACTACAAGGCAGTAGTTGATTAATTTTGGAGTTGTCTCTCCTAGAAGAGTGGCTGTCCCCAGCTAACGAGCCTCATCTCCCCGAGGGTTCGAACTTGAGACTTTTCGGCTTAGCAACCATGAGCTTTACTGACTCGACCACGCCGACCCCCTTCAAGTCTTAAATACAAGCACACTGGGATTCAACCAGATATGTCTGTTCAAATTCTTAACTGAAATGGCAAATGTGGCATGGCATAACTTGGTCAGTTGGAAAAGAACATAACTTGTAATCCATAAATCATAGGATACCTGCCTCTTCTTCTATTTAAGGACAGCATGGCCTAGCGGTAGAGAGCTAGACTGCTAACCCACAAGTCACAATTTCAAATCTGGGTTCAAATTAGTAGAACAGCCTGGAATTTTTTGGTTTGCAAGTTATGTACTTTTCCAATACACTTGAGCACAAACAGGAAAAGATGACGAATAAACTATGTTTTACTATTTAGATTCCCAACTATATCTAGATTACAAATCATTACAGTTACAGTTAACGGTAATATATCGTTTTAGGTGCATAAAATCGTCTGAGGCTAGTAATGTGAGAAAAAGTTGCCTCATTGTTAAGGCTTTAATAGAAGTATACTATATTGTGATCTTGTGTGTCAAATATCATTGATAACTGAATAATAAACCAAAATCAGTCGCTAAATATATCAATATAGGCGAGAAAGTAACTTTAAACAGCAGTGTTTGCGAGCCGGATTTGCTATATATATAAACATCGGCCGTCTGTAAGTTAGAGTGATTTCCCCTGAATCTCTAACTATAATTTTACCAAAAAATTTTTTAACAAGATGGCTGCTAAAGTAAATGAGCTTGGTTGCATTTGATGAAAACATCGCTAGTCTTTATTTTTTACTGAAAAGTTTTAATACAATACAATTGTTTAAAAACAAGGTAGAGTCTACAATTACAATTCTACATGAATCATGAATGAAACTTTGAAACTTTCAAAACATAAATCCTCCTAAAAATGTGAAATAATTATTAATTAGTAGTATTTCTCGCTAACTTGGAGGCGTGGTCGGTTGCTAACAACAATATGGCGCCCGGACCGGACGTTCGATTTTCGGCGATTTTTCGGCCAAATTCCAGAGACCTTCAACTAATTACATTTAAAAATGTTTACCACGCGCAAAATGGCGGGATTTCCGTGTCATAACAACAAACCATAAGTGGCAAGGCTAAATATGCCAGAAAAGCGTTTTAAAATTTGCTTTGGAGAATGAAGGCTAAATTTAAAAGTCGGTCTCATTAAAATTAATAGAACTTCTAAAATATCAGCCTGGAGGTCACAAAAATGAATTGGAGGTTGTAGAACTATTAGGTTTATCATTATATGAAGAAATAAATCAAATATTGCATGCGCTTTTTAAAATAAGACACGACTTTTGAATGACAACCAAATTTTTTATATTTTAAAAACCATGTGACCTCTATTTGATGATCACTAGTGGGGAACTCTGGGTACATGGCCACTTAAAAAGTCTAATCGCATTTGTGGTTTTCTTTACCTTCAAGGGTTAGAAGAGTTGTCATGGAGAGATGTGTTGGCCATGGCAGTGAGTGTCAATAAATATTAAATTAAGTAATTTAGTTTAAAACGAACTAAAAACTTCAAAATTAGTGGCTTATGGATTAAATATGTATGTCTATTATTCAGTGGTCATGTTTAAATTGAAAATTGCGTAGATTCTAGATTTAGTGAGAAAAACTATTAATTAGGCTACTAAAATTCAATGAGTCAACTTTTTTTCACATTAATTTAATTAGTTTCGGACGATTTTACGCAACTAAAATGTCCTAAAACGATAGATTACCCAGTTAACTAGATCAGAGATCTAGAAATCTAGATCTAGATAATATAGTAGATATTCTAAATCTAAAAAAAAATAGTTAAAATACTATACACTTCAAACTTCAAACTCGTGACCGGCTGAGCAGGAAGGTGAAGCTGTGAGATGAAAACACTTCAGCAAAAAGATGTGTATCAATTCGAATAGCTTAAGAAATAAAAATGCTAAGAACTATGTTACCATTTTCGTTGTACGTGGCTTAACTCAGATTTGTAGTCTAGGTCTCATGCTTCAAAATCATCATGTGAAAACGCCCCTTTATGTTTCCGTTTTGATTATACGGCTCTATGTGATATAGAACTTGTAAACAAAGTAAACCTCTTCATTATATGAAAAACATTTTAATAATCAAACTAATTGCCGGTAGTTAGCAAAGCGTAGCAAAAACAAACATTAAAATATTATCTTATTTTAAACGTATTCCTTAATTATAATTTTCAAGAATGTAGGTCTAGACCTAGTTCTAAATAACAATGATTGTGATTTATACTAGAATCTAGTCTTCTAAAGTGAGGAATATATTTAGACTTTGTACAAAGACGTTTATTTTTTTTTAACATGTAACGAAAGTGTAGGCCTACATTTTGGGCGTCTTAAACATTTTAGGAATAATAACACTGGTAGTTTAGCAAAAAGACTTCCTCTCTCTTTAATGCATTAAAAATAATTAGCCGGGGCCCAGGTTACCCTGGCGCATATCATATCAAGTAGAAACGAAAACAGGTAGAAAATCGGGCATAAATTATGCGATCGTTTTAAGCTGCATTGTTGAATTTATTTATACACAGAGGGTTACGCAACCTTTTAAACACGTTTCGAAACGTGTATTTGTACACGCTTAACCTTGTTTTTTATTTATTTTCAAAGTATAAACAAAGCTTTTCAGCCAACTAGGACCCCCAGAGGCGTCGCGAGGCGGGGGCGGGGGATGCGGACAGCACCGGGTGACACCATTTAGGGGGTGGCACCATGGCGAATAATTCCAAATTATATAGAAGTAATATGCTTTCAGCCAGTTCAATTACCGCTTAATAAGACTTAATCCACCTGTATTAATTACTAACTATAGAAAACCATGATGCATCTTTACTATGAACTGTACACACTCTATCACCAAGTTAGGAATAAAGGCTTGTTGATTATTTGAATAGCAGATAAGTTAATCATCGAGAGTAGAGGGGGGGGGGGGTGACACCAAAATCTAATGACTTATGATGAAAACGATGCTTTTTCCGCGCACGAATTAATAGGTTGATTGAGCGCACTCAGTAACGCCAATAGGCAAATTGGGAAGGTGATGTCACCAATTGCAACTATATATAGGCCTCTTTTGACCTTAAAATAAATAAATAAATAAATAAATAAATAAATATATATATATATATATATATATATATATATATATATATATATATATATATATATATATATATATATATATATAGAAAGGCCTATATATAAATAATATATATTTATATTACAAAGTTTTTTTTCCGGGTGGAGGGGGGGATGACACCATTAGGTCTCGCACCGCATGACACCCGACTTCGCGACGCCACTGACTGGACCACACATACGTTTTTGCTTCAGTATATTAACCGGAAAATAAAATAAAAACAAAGCGTGCTGAATTATGAAGCAAATGGATTCGTCGGCACCCTAGAAAAAAAATTAATCAGTTTAACGTATAAACAACTCAATGAGACATATTTAAAGAATAAAGACAGTAGGCCTATAGACATTTCATCGAAAATTTACAAAACTCAAAATCTGTCTTACCGTTTCTCTCTCAATAGATAGACATATAAGCCATCATTAAATTTCCCGATCAGTTAATTGTTACATTAAATAAACGCAATTCTCCAGAATGGAAATTGCGCTAAAAATATTTGTTTAAAGAAAGCTAAATAAATGCTAAATTTCTGTTTTATAAATTACTTTTGAAAATGTAAAAAAAAACTTGGTGTCTCATATAGCCTATATTATATACTAAGTTTATATATTATCTAACCTCGCCTCACAGATGCAAAAAGTACAAGTATTCCTAGGTCGAAAAAGTTTGCAGTTCTTTTTGAACACACATGTTTTTGTTGTTCTGTTTAACACTGGCGCTAATCGCACCAAATTCTAGACTCTAGATCTAGATCTATATGTTCTTTTTTCATCGGCGTCTTGTCAACAGGTTAATGTAATTCAGTTTTTATTTACGTCTTAATTGAGGTAAAGTAGATCCTTACATTGATTTTAACTATCTATACGTTTTAAGGGAATGTAAAATATACAAGTTATTTATTTATTTTATTTTACTTTTTTGATCTTGATCTAGATCTAGATCTAGATCCTGATCAAAATCTAGATCTAGATCTAGAATCTACTTATTTTTATTTTGCTTTTTACAAGCTTTTATTTAACTTCCGTCCTCTGTCTGTCGCCAGTCTGTCTGTCGACAGTCTGTCTAACTGTCGTCATAGATCGAAACGGGCGAACTAAATTTCGGTCACTTTTAACTAACATATTCGTTTCAAAGTTTACACGTGGGTCAAGATTTGAAAACAATGCAAACTGACATCAAATTTGACTTAATTGGATAACTGATTAATTTTTTAATGAATATATTAAAATTTTCTGCAATTAGAAGGCAGACTTCTGCTACTCTTTTCGCACTATTATACGCGCGTTATCAGGTTCACTTAGTGCGCAATAGTTTGTATTCATGCAGCTTTATTGTATATAAAGAAAAATTAAAGTACGTAAAAATATTGCTTATAAAGGTTTTAATAACAAGCTTTTATGTAATAATGTATTAAAAAGGAGAAAATAAATGTTTTTTTTCTTTAAGTATATAATAATACACTACAGACTATTAACTTAGATTACTTTAGGTTAAAATACTAAGAGTGTTTATTTCAGACATTTTCTCCTGGACAGGGGTACATTAAACTACCGAGGTGGGGGAAAGAACTTATATGTATGGGTGGCGGATACCGTTAAAGGTATAGGCGTATATTTTCTATTTAAATCCAATTTTGTTTGGAAAGGGTACGTGGACGAGGGTGCAATGCCACTCAAAGAGATGCCTGAATGAAATTCTGAATACTAGCACAAACAACGATACTGTGTCGATTAATTTCAGATTGCGATGAATGGATCTACTTGAGGTTTCCGTCTTGACTTTTAGGATCGTGCAAATAGTCTACGCTATTCTTAACGCAAGCGCGGAAGCAGGTACAAGTGTGGGTTTATATACAGTTTATAGGGGATTCATCTTGAATTTATAGGCCTAACAGGCTACAAAAAACATAAAAGAGTCAAATATTATTTACTTTATTGAAAATTCACCAAACTGTTCCTCTCTACTGTCCCACTGTATTTTCTTTTATACAAGGAATAGAAAACGTATTGTAATCGTTTTAAATAGTTAACATAAAAAATACATATACATATACATATATATATATATATATATATATATATATATATATATATATATATATATATATATATATATAGGCCTATATAGGTCTATATAGGACTATAAATAGTTGCAATTGGTGTCTCCCCACTTCCATTTTGTCTAATGGCCTCAAGTTCTACGCACATTATATTATTCCGACTATTAATTCAAGTGGAAAAATATTTGCATTTTATATTTCTGGATTTTGGTGTCACCCCCTCACCGGTCGTTGATTTACTTATCAGTTATTCCAAATGCTCAACAAAACCTTCTTTATCCTTTAAATTTTGCCGGGAGATAGTTTTAAAGTATGCACAGTTAATAATAAAGATGTTTATTTATAGTCAGTTATTAATATATGTGGATTAACTCTAATTAAACCTTTATTGAGTTGACAAAAGCATATTTCTTTCTATATTTTTTGCAAGTTTCCGCTATCGTGTCAACCACCCTCTTCCCGCCTCCGCCAGAGTTTCTTCCAGGCATCTCTTCGGGGGGGCGAAGCCCCCCCGAAAATTTTTACCGCCCCCCCGAACGAAATGAAATTTATATAATTTATATAGAAAATATATACTTTTAACAGTGTCCGCCCCCCCGAAGAAAGTTTACCGCCCCCCCGAAGATTTCAAGTGCCCCCCCGGAGAAAAAAGTCTGGAAGAAACACTGGCCTCCGCCTCGCTACGCCTCTGTTCCCATGTCATAACAAGCCGCTGCTTTAGTTATTTATCAAAATGTACCAGGTTCAAAGATGTACTTGTTATTTAACAAATATTTAAAAAAAAAAAATCAGTACTTGATATTGCTTTGGGAAAAACAGCAATAGTTTCTTTGACATATTTTTAAATATCAAAACACACACACCACAGAAAACTGTTTTTAATTTTTCTACACTGAGAGTTATATATGCCATTAGTACAATTCTCATAATCTTGTACTAATGCATGCTGATCTTGTAATGAGAAAAAAAAACCCACCAGTAACATTGACATATTTTTTCTTTATATTAAAAAAACACACACACACACACACCACAGAGTCTTAACATCTAGTACCTACAATTACAACTATGACTAAATTTTCTACATTGAAAGGTATACATGCCTTTAGTAATGATCGCATAATCTAGTACTAATACGTATTGATTTACCTAAGTGGAAAAAAAAGTACCATTGACATTTTTTTAAATATAAAAAACACACACACGCACGCACACACACACACACACACACACACACACACTACATACGCTCTTAACACGCAGTACTGACAAATTACAATAAGTTTATATACACTGAGAGATATAGATGTCATTAGTACAAATCTCATAATAGTACTAGTACTTAAGCGGGCAGTATCAACCAGACAATGAAAAATTGAAGAAAATATTTGCCAAAAAAGAAGAACATTCTGCATACACACTTAAATGTTATACCATTATAGTTATAATCAAGGAGCTTTAAAACATCACATAAAAGAAAGTCAATGAACGATGCAAACATTTTTGTAAATCATTTGACCCAAAAATGTATAAAAAGAAATATAGGGCTGCAGTTTTCCAACATTTAGGCCCTTCCTGCAGAAAATACGCAAGGAGATGCATAAAATAGTAACCTACGGTTGGAATTAGTAGTTTTCATTGTGACAAATTTTGTACATTATAGAATTTTTCGAAATCAAACCAATCTTAAGGGATATTTGAAAGTTCCTAAAAAAAAAAATCAAAAAGAATTATCTCGCATCAGAATACTTTAATAGTAGTTCCTACCAGAGGATACAATATATGAAAACTGGAAATGTTATACCAAATTTTAAGTACTTTATTTATGGTTTGAAAAAAATTGTTTACAATAAATTTACAAATGTAAAAATATTAAATTAAATTTTAGAATA